GTCAGAAAAGAGAATTCTCCAAAACTGTTACTCCTTTCTGACTGCGAGATTCGATTTGCGCATCTGCGTAAAACAATTTTATGTTTGAAGTTGCTTATCCGAGTTTCTGAAAGCTTCACCATCTCCTGCTATGAAATTGGACGCCAAACACTCCCACCTCTAGATATTTGGTTTGATTTGTATCGTGTATCGATCGACTACACTCTTAATGGTAGTGTCAGAACATTTGGTAATCTTAAATTGCGATTTCATCCCGTAATTCATCTCGTAATGCTGAAAAACGGAGAGGCCATCCTTATTAGGTCTTGTCATGAGTGCCAGTTGATCGGGACGCTGATCAGTCTCGTGGTCTCATCGATGAAAGGAAAGGCTTCACCATCTCCTGCTTTGAAATTGGACGCCAAACACCCCCACCTCCAGATATCTTGTTTGATTTGTGTCGTGCATTAGGAAACTACACCACTAATGGCAGTGTCAGAACATTTGGTAATCCCAGTGCCCCCCGGCTTTCCGGCATAAATCGACTTCAACTTCAGGAGGAATTATTAGCTGGAAAATGGACAGTCATCTGAAGTGATCATCGAATATGCATTCCATCACGGATCTCTTTCAACCCTAAACTGCGATTTCATCCTGTAATTCAGGCCAACCTATGCTGAAAAACAGAGGAGCCATCCTTATTAGGTCTTGTCATGAGTGCCAGTTGATCAGGACGCTGATCAGTCGCTCCTGGCTGTGTCAATAATACTAACCTGGAGTTTCCTGGAATGCGCATCGCTGACAATTCCCTATAGAAATGAAGTATGTGTACAGTGCTTCTCGGCTTTTAAGCATAAATCGACTTCACCTTCAGGAGGATTTCTTAGCCGGAAAATGGACAGTCATCTGAAGCGATTATCGAATATGCATCCCACCACGGAACTCTTTCAACCGACAGAAAAACGGTTGGTTGAAGGTCCAAGACTGTTCACGATCACTGATATGCGGTCTAGTCCGCTCTCGCATGCATGAAGCAAATATCCGAGCTTATAAACTGAAAAAGACGGGCTAATGTATGAACCGTCCGTTTCAGCGCTTTTGTTCACATGTGCCGGACCGCCATTTGAGAGATACTGGGAAGCAAAACTTAGGCTTACAGAATTTGACTGGATTTTGCAGCATAAAAACAACCGCAGAAGCTTCCAATTAGGTTTATGTCTTTGTGTATCCTACTTGTCTACAGTTATCAAGCAATTTCTTGGGAAGCCACAAGAAAATGAAAGCTCCGGGTCAGCGGTTGTAATCCGCATGTGCCTGGCTGGAGACATTGTAAAATATGGTCACTATCTGACTTCAGCGGGCTTCGTTTTATTCATACTTACGGAGTGAAAGACTGGAGATGCACATGGGATCGATCCATTTTTCAACCGAGAAAATGAGTCATGCGTTGGAACCGATGGCCCAATCCGTTCACTGGTATCGCAAGATTTTGATTAGTTAGTACGCCAGTACGCGTGAGCTAATCAATGAAGGTGTTTCCCTTGATAAAAGACGATCACTGGCATCATGACGGTTGCGACCGGAGCAATTTCATCTGTTATCTTCACACTACAAACTCACATGTCTTGCAGCTTCTCTTACCTTTTGAACAATGTTTAAGGCGGGATGGAATCCCACAAATTGCTTGCCAAATTCCTCGTCAAGGGTACTGAAGGGTACATTAGATCTGTATCATCCCACGGTCGTTAGTCAATCATTTTTTCAAGCCAAGGGCCTGCCAAAAGCCACGTTTGGTATTCGAAACCTATTCGGCATTCACCTATTGACACATACGGGAACCTTGCGCGTTGTATATTTGATATGTTTGTTTCTCAGCTATAGCTTTGCGATCATGCCAACCTAGCAGCTGTACAAACTGGCTTCATAAATTGCGAGTACATATTAACTGAACTTCAGAAGACAAAACCTGCCTTGTTTGTTCAAACGTATCGCCATCGCAGTATAGGCTGAAGATGATGAAGACCGTGACACTTGGAAGCACAAGACACGAGAGGTAAAAAGAGGGTACTCCAACCGGCATGCCAAATCGACCTATTCAACAGGGTGTCTCACAATAGACGCAAAAAGCAATGCCCATATTAAAACTTCAACGTTTTTTTATGCGTTTATTATTTTTTATGTGACATACATACATTATGGAAGTTAGCCCCAAATAAACTGGCATTACAAAATGTTAAAAAACCGCCCTTTTCTTTTACAACAAGTTGGAGGCGGTGTGAGATATGAGACACAGCATGTTTAAATTCTTCAAGCGTCGTTCGTGCACGCTCCTCTTCAATTCCTGCTCTTAACTCCAACAAGGTGGCGCCTCATAATACGATGCACGCTGGCGCGGGGAACGCTGGTCAAATGAGACACCTGAGTTATTGACGAAGATGCCATGGTGCTCTGGGACTGAAGTTGCTCGACGGCATTCTGTACAATGGGCGCTCTTTTATCACTCAGAGACTTTCTCCCTTTGCCAGGGAAATCCAATACAGATCCAGTGGACTCCAGTTTTGCAATTAAGCGTGTAATGGTCGACACGGTGAAAGGATCTTTGATGAGATCATGTTTGCTTTTGTAACCACGAAGTGTATCGGTGGCACATTCACCAAGGGAATAATAGAGTTTCATAATTTCAATGCGCGTGTTGATATTCATCGCAAACAAAAAAATGCCAACACTTATACACAAAACCTTCCTTATATGGCTACCAATAGTAAAAGGTTTTGTTATCCTTCTTTAATCAGACACGTGTAATTATCCAATCAACTTTCGCGTCTATTCTGAGACACCCTCTACACACTGCTATGACAGAAAGATCGCCAACTCACCCAAGAAACGGGACTTACCATGGTGGACAAGAACTAGGGTCTCAGTGGGGAGATCGTGAAGGTTAACTTTCAAGGCTACCCGGAAACCCACCAAGCGGAAGGCAGACCTCTAGGAGTGCTCGCCAAAGCGGCCTAGCTCAACCTGGTTAATTAGACCCTTGGTCGATGCACACCGACGCGATCACTTGGCCTTTTCACCCACGATATACTATTCCAGCTGACGATGAAGCATTCCCAACCTAACTGTGCACTTCAGCAAACAAAACAGCGTCAATATAGGTTGAATAAATAGAACGTAGGATGACGCGTAGGATGAATTATTAGTCGCCCAGTTTAGTTGGGGTGCATAGAATAATAGCAGCCCATCCCGGTTTACCAGCATTTCGCTGTCATCAATAAGCCAGGTTCTTGGACGATCGTGGATCATCTTGAAGCTTTTTGAGACGACCAATCCAGAAGAAGCAGAACTTTCATCCCACACTCATACCTGAACCTGACTATTGTTGTCCCGATGACGTACGGAGTGCTGGCCATCACGATGAGATCGTTATTCACTCAAGACTTTCTTACGTTGCCCTCCTTGACTTCCTGTACTTTGTAGGGTCTTTTGCAACTCACCTGACTATAGCACTTGGGATACAGACAGTCCAACCACTGACCAAAGTATTTGCTAAAATAAGCGACGTTCAGCAATGGGGAGTAAGTGAGTGGAAACGAATGCAGGTTAGCAATGTAGAATACCTTTGAAGCATTGCCTCAGAGAATTTAAACAAAAACAGACTGTGAGAAAAAGTGCTCCGTACTTTTTGCGCAATTTAGAGCCCTAGAAGGATACAACGGTACAATATTTGCCTATGGCCAGACGGGAAGCGGCAAGACGTTCACGATAACGGGCGGAGGGGAGAAGTACACTGATCGGGGAATCATTCCACGAACCATTGAGTACATCTTTCGACAGTCTGAGAAGGTTAGTTTCTCTATTTTGTTCTTTCGCTATTTACCGTGGATTCCTTGGACTCACTATTATTGAGAGCTGACTCAGACAAAGCTGCCCGTGGTACTAAACAAAACTGGTTTTTGTAATGAGTTTATCGAAGGAAAATCACTGGATGATGGCAAAATTCACTTCATTTCGACAGATATGCTCTCAAGGGGACCAGTGTGAAGGCAAATCACTCCTCAGTTGAAGCTAGTACACTCAAATTTCGTCAGATTCTTGTTGAATGGTTCATCTTTGCATATTCCTCGAGAGTTTATATTCATTCTTCCCAAGCAGTAAAATTCCATCGACAGGTGTCCAGAAACCGGATAAAAAAATCCATCAGTGGCTTCCACCCATGNTCTATCTATCTTTCTATCCCTCTTTCCATCCGGTGATAGAACTGCCACCTCTTTTGAGGGGGGATAATAAACATGTTTTTCTCTCAATTTCAGCTTTATGGTTAAACAGACGATCCAAATTTTTCTTCGTTTTCGTCCACCGTCCATAAGAAAATCTGTGATAGTAAGCTGTGCTGAAAAAACGCACTAGCAACCATACCGTTTCCTCTGTAGCAGTACAATGTGCACCAGGTAACGGGTGGCGATCGACCATGCGTGACACTGAACGTGAATCGGGAAGTGCGTGAATACGACATATGCAACAGAAGGGAGCTCTACAACTTTCAGTTTGATGGTATCTTTGATGTTCTTGCTGGTCAAGATCAGGTTTTTGATGCTGTTGCAAAACCCGTGATTGAAAAGTAAGCAAACACTACAACATTCACCAACAACCTATCGTCTGATTGGCTGATCCGATGTCTATTTCAATTCATATCGATTTTTCGGAAGTTCTTGCACAGCGTGATCCGTGGAATAAGGTCCTAATTAAATCCAGTCGGCTAATCACATGATTTGTTTCGGTAGAAACAAGGTACTTTTTTGACGCCGAAGCAGAGAAGGTAAGATCCACTAGGCGCAAGTCAACTTTGGTAACCGCTGAAATCACAGACTTCATGTATTCCTCACCATAAACAGATATTCATCAAATGACCTTGAGGCAGTTCTAACCGGAAAGTTGTTTCGTCGTAACTGCTGGAGGCCGAGGTCGAAGCAAGGGTGGTCGTGGTCTCATCGATGAAAGGAAAGGCTTCACCATCTCCTGCTTTGAAATTGGACGCCA